TAAGCCCCCAAACCCTAAAATCCTATACCCTCAACCCCTAAATCTACTTAGCGGGGAGTTAGCAAAGCCAGCCAAGAGAGTTTGCTATCCCAGCCTTGAAAGCTTCGTGGCCGGAGGATCATTCTTGCTTGTGTTGTCTACAAGATTAGTTTAGGCTTTAGGGTTTAGGGCTTACGGCTTTGAGGTTTGAGGCTTTAGGGTTTCAAGCGGTTAGGGTTCAAGGCATGAGATTAATTGTCAAGGGATGTCCTTCATCAGCCGAACAGGTTGGAAGGGTCACGGTTGGATATTCAGCTGTATCAAGACCCAGCTAGCAACAAAGAAAGTAAAGCGTGGAGGACATCAAGTAGGGTTTAGGATTCAGAGTTTATGTCTGAAGGGTTTACGGTTTCGGCGAACAGTGAAGAAGCGCTTAAGATCTAGGCGGCGACTCGTGAATTCGGGCCGGGGTTTATTCACCTGCACCGTTCCTCTTCAAACAGCTGCCCCATCCAATGGTTGGCTTGGAATATACGCTGCTAGTGATGTCTGCGCCAACCCTAAACCCTAAACCCTATCTAAGCCTAAGGAAGTTGAGCTCCACTTTGCAAGCCTTGAAAACCAGCTGCCGACTGCTTTCGCGTCTTCAGAATCCACCCGCCGAGTCGTCTGGAGCCTTGAAAGCAGAGTTTCAACTGGTTTCACACCTTGAAACCCACGTACTGATTGGTAGGCTTCCAATCACCAGTGTTCTGAAACCACGAGTGGTTTCAAGTCTTTCAAGGCTTTAGATTCGTCGGTCGATCCACTGTGACCAGTTTCAGTTTTGAACATGCTTGCTGGTTTAAAGAGGAAGCTCGTGGACGCTTATTCCGCGCACTGGTGGCGCCTTGTGATCACTCGAGCCCGGCTAAAAATGTCAGTATCTTTAGCTGCGGAGCTGGTAGAGGAGCTCGTGGGGAGGGCTAGTCCCAGCTCAAGGTCCCGGTGCCCTGAGTCGAGGTGGTTGAAGAGCTGGTGTGGGGGAGAGCTGGTGGGGAGCTGCTGGACTGGGTTTGTAAGCTAGCTGCCCGTGACTTTTGTGGTCACATTTTTGCAAGCCTCGTTTGCCTGAACCCCAAGTTTCAGGGTCGCTCTGTTCCGGTTGCCTGGGTGTGCCCCTCTAAGTTGTTTTCAAGTCCCGAACTCCGGAGTGATTTTGGCAGTTTATGATCCAGCTGCCGCCGAGTCACGATGGGCACCTGTCATTCCGAGCAAGATGCGCAGATTGCAAGCTGTTCAGCCGGGGCGCGGATTTAAAGATTCTCGGGCAGCATGGAAAAGTTGTTTGGGAAGCCTGGTGTGCTCACTTGTTCGCAGGCATGGGACCACATGCATGGCGCTGAGAAGGGGTTGAACAAGCTTTCTTTAGACCTGTAACATAGGTGAACAATTTCCAGATGTTCTACCAGTCTTTTTACTGGTGGTGAGTAGGAAACAAGGGAAGATAATCCTTGAACAATCCTTATACGATATATGGGTGGTTGTCAAAATTATGGTCCCTTTTTGGGTACCCTAAATATTAGGTGCCGTATTATAATAGGGACCCAAAAAGGGACCATAATTTTGACAACCAGCCATATATATATTTATAAATATATATATTCCCGTATTTTCTACTGACCGCCAGTGAGTCTTTGTGGTTGCAAGGTTGGGGAAATGCGAGGCCCAGCAGGACCAGCGCCCTCCAATGTCCTACGGGTCCATGTGCCCAATAGTTGGGTTTAGGGTTTAGGGTTAAGGGTTTAGGGCTTAGGGCTTCGGGTTTAGGGCCCAATAGTTGGGTATTCTGGTACTAGTGATTACAATAGAGGGTTTTCGGGAAGGATCTGATTTTTGGGAAGGTGGACCCTCTGGGTCTTGAAAGGAACTTGCTTGCAAAAATCCCACGTAGGGAAACACTCAAGGTAGAACCAGGTTATTCGCTTCGTCCCCGAAAAGGTATTATGACGGCTAATCCTAGTCAGTGTTGCGTAATATCCCCTACACCCTGAACCCCTAGACCCCTAAACAAACCACTTAGCGAAATGTGGTGCAGGAAGTGGCGCCGGACAGGCTTGACTATTTGGGTCGTTTTGAGATGCAGACCCAACAGATGAGCTATAGTCTAAACTCCTTGTAGGGGGGCTATATAGGGGATTATATAGGGTATTATAGTGATTATTAAGGGAGATACCATGAGTTTAGACTATAGCTCATGTAGTAGGGGCTTAGGGTTTAGAGCTTAGGGATGCGTAGGCAAGTTGCATGATTTGTAAGGTGCAAGTTACTGACGACGAAATGAGAAGTAAGACAACAACGATGTTCTGACTTTTGACATGCATATTAGATGTATAGAAAAAAGATGCAGGCACATGCTTATGTACATATCATGTAGCTCTGCACAACTCATGTTTCGAAAGCATGCCATCATCTTTCAGCACTCTGCACAGTTCCATCTTGGCAGCT